AATTAATGTAAATGCATGAATATCCTCCATCAGTCTTCGTAAGTGATCTTTTTTGTATCACAGAGATGAAGAATGGAATAGTTTTAAACATGGACTCTAAAGCCAGGCTTTTGGGGCTTCATTGATTCTGCTATGATAAGGAGTTCCATTTTATCTCAGAATAGCTCTGAATATTAAGAAATTCAATGGCCTTCTCTCAGCTTTCATTCTTCTCGACATCTTTGCCTTATTTATTACCTCTTGATATTCTTCTCTTTCACTGATTGTCTTCCTAAACGACAGTGTCACTTAGTAGTCAAGAAAGAACACAGTGGCTACAATGAACACTATTTGTGTGATGGGCACGCTTACTTACAGCCATGACTCAAGCATTACAAAGCAATCCACGTAACTAAAAACAATTGTACCCCCCTAATACTTTGAAATTTATAAAAAAAAGAAAGCAAGCTCATGGGGTTTGAGGTTAGAACTGGGTTTGAGAGATGTCATTTTATTCTAAGTTTCAGTTTCTTCTTCTGTGAAATAGATTAAAACACTATTGCAAAAGACCATTGTCAGGATCAAATGAGGTTCACTGAAAGTAAAGCATAGCCTCTGGCACCTAATAAATGCTTTGTAAGTATTAATCCAATTACCATCTTCAGGCCTTAACATAGATTTTAGTCATCAGTTCCTTCTTTCTCCCCCCCTCCCATCTAGTCAATAAGCAAATCCTATTTGCCCTACACACTGATCTAAGCCACAGCCATCTCTTTTCTGAATTATTTCAATAGCCTCAATGGCTGTTCTTACTGTTTCTACCCTTCCTATCCCACCCAATACCCTGCCCATCCCTCAGTTTGTGCTTCACACAGCAATCACAGTGATCATGATTGTTGTAGGAGGAATAAAATCACTCCATGTTACTACTTTGCTTAAAACTCTAAAATGACTTTCCATTGTATTTAGGAGAAAAAATTCTTAACAGCCTAAAAGGTACAGAATCTGGTTAATTCCCATAAACCCTTGCTGCTTCTCTTAACTCACTTGGTTCCAGCCACACTGACATGCATATTGTTCCTTAAACACGTCAAGCAAGTTTTAGGACATTCATGCTTTTTCTTCCCTCCAATTGGAATGACTTACTCCATAATTTTCTTTAGGTGTCTGCTCAAACATTGCCCTTACCTGAAATCTTACATAAGATAGGAAGCTCCCTGTTCTTTCTTGCATTATTTTTCTTTATCACAGTTGTCACCATCTAACACACTATGTCTTATTTATTTATTGGCTTTCTTATGCTAGAGTCCAGGTTCCATAAAGGCAAGATCTGTTTTATATACTGCTTTATTGCCCGGGTCCAAAACAGTGCCAAGAATATAATATGTGCTCAACTTACATATGTCGAATAAATTATTTTCTAGCAGAATGTAAACTGCAAAGTTGAACAAAAAATAGTAAACATAAAAAACAGCTATGAATAACACAAAACATTAGAAAGGAAATTAAATATTTTCCCTCTCAAAAAATGCATCAGATCTGGCTTGATGCTAGTTTTAACTGCAAAGAGTATGCAATTCCACTGTTATTTAAATTATTCCTGACAAAAACTGGAAAACTTCTCATCTGATTTGGACAAAGAGG